AAAGTCATTAGAAACTGATTTGATTTGAAGAAGTTGTTTTCAGATCTAAAAACATGCATTGATGTGGTGCCTACAAGAGATAATATACAAATTTAAAATGTTAGTAGTTCAAAGAGCACTGTTCAGTGTACCTGAGGGGAGTTGAAACATAAAGAATGAATGAATTAAACTGAAAACCCGGGTTGTGTAGTGTCTTTCCTTTGAATTGGTAAGTCTTGAGTAGCCAAAGGAAAGGGCTTCTTTTCAGTCACAGGCATCAGATGGATATAGAGAGTTTTATAAGTAAAGGGTTGTCACACGAGATTAGGTAACATTAGAACATAGCGTAGGAGGGGAAGAAGCTTGGATTTGGGAAGCAGAGTTCAGACACAGCAGGTATCGATAGCCCTAGAAAAGTTAAAATAGTCTTAACTGAGGGAATAATTTGATGGAACAAACTAAAAGTCTAAAACACTTGAGACTTGGGAAAACATGGTAGCAGGGACCTAGACCACAAGAAATAGACTGGTGAAATTAAAACCTATGCATGAGAAAACTGGGTGTCTGGAGAGCACGCAGCTGTAGTCTTCTGATCCAAGCGTGGGAATGGGAATTGTCAGGCAAAGGAGAAGAAAGGTACCAGAATCAACTTTCATTCTTCTCCAACATTTTCCAGAGTAAAACTGTGATGTGTTTTCTGCCCTGGATCAAGTTTTGAGATTATAGAATTACATTCCCAGTTCTTGGTGGCAGGTTGATATATCTGATTAGAATGAGGATTGGAATGAAGCTTAGTACTTCCTAATGGCAGTGTTATAGCAATATTAACAAGTTATCAGTTGGATAATAAAGGTTTATTATTGAATGCTTGCTGTGTTTCAGACATTGTGTCTTATCCTGTAGATTTAAAGATTAAATAGTCTTTTCATATACATTGAATTATTTATAGAAGATTTTAAAAAGCTTCAAATGGGCTGGCAGCATATTTCATCACTATTTTCTTTTTCTGAAATACTGAATGTTATAGGTGACATTCATAAAATTTTCAACAAATAGCCTTTGATGGAGGCCCTAGAGGATTGAGTTTGATGCTGAGGGTTGAGCGATGGTGGAAGATAGAACACTTAAATTTGGAGATGGAAATTGAACAGAAGGAAAACTGGATGATGACAAGCTGTCTGTGAAGTCATTTGCTCGAGTCACATTAGTTCATTAAGTGTATAAATTTATACTCCACCTGTTTAAAAAAGAACTTTGAAGCAACTTAGTTAAAATTAAACACTGTTGAAAATATATTTCATTTTTGTATACAACAAAACTAGTTAAATATGGCAGAAAAGTTGATGTCAGTAGACAGTTGAGATCTAGGTTCAGACTGGGAAACACTAGCAAGATCCTGAGAACCCAAGCCACAAGAAGGAGAAAACATGTTAAATCATCCCTTTTTGATAAAAAGTAAGCACACGAGAACTAGCTGAATCATTCTGTTTCTGAATTCAAGGAGAAAATATTTTGTGAATTCTTACATTAGGAACTTTTTGGGTAAAGATGATCATTTCTTTAACAGATTGATAAAAGATAATGTTCTAGGGGAAATTTTTATCAATCTTTATAAATTGAGGACTTAATATTAAATTTAGTGAAGGCATTTGGTGAGGAATTAGATGAAATGATCTATACATGTTTTCTGATGATCAGATTTAATAAAGAAATGAGAATCTGGAGCCAGCCTTGATGGCCTAGTGATTGAGGTTCAGTGGCCTGGGTTCAGTTCCCAGGCATGGAACTACACCACTGGTCTGTCAGTAGCCACGCTGTGGTGGTGGCTCACACAGAAGAACTAGAAGAACCTACAACTATGAACAACTATGTACTGGGGCTTTGGGGAGGGAAAAACAAAAGAGAGAGAGAGGAAGATTGGCAACAGATATTAGCTCAGGGCGACTCTTCCCTAGCAAAAAAAAATAGAATTTAAATGGTTAGTTGGAAGCATATGTATTAAGTGAACCTTTGAAAAGTACTTAATTACTCAGTATTTCTCTGAGTAGTACCTTAAGTTTCTGCAGTAGGTACGTTTTTAAAAGTGGGGTCTCAGAGGAGAGCTGACTTTTCAGACTGTTGAAAATGTTTTACACGTCTAAATTACATTTCTCCTACCTCATCCCCTACTTTCCACCCCCCCAAAAAAAGCAAGCAAGCAAACAAAGCTTTGATCTGCTAGAATATGAACTAGTGCTTGACTGAACTTTAGAGCTGTACCTCACAAAATGAAAGAAGGAATATATTGTCAACCATAGCAAGAACCTGACTCATCTTCATTGTCCCAGTAATATCAATTACTATAGACTGGACCTTCAAGTAACTGAGTGAATAAATGTTTGACAGATCCTTTAATAGTCATTTAAATGGAGAATGCCTACCAAAGAGAAGGATTTTAATTTTAATAATGGTAACCCTTGTGAGTGCTTCAGAGGTTTAGCAACTTGTAATAAGGGGACATAGTTGGAATTCAAATCCAGATTTTTCTGTGCAAAGCTGGGGTAATGCTGTATCTAGTATGTATTTGTTCGTTTTAATTTATTCTTAACAAATGGCTATTCTCTGCCAGACACTGACGATACAGTTTGGAGAAAAGGAAAAGATCTAAACAAAAAAGACAGGGTTTCTGTTCTTAGAGCTTATTCTCTTGTAGGAGAGGGGAGGAGTGGATCTCAGGTGAGCAGCAGCCTAGGCCTGCTAAGGAGTTCTGGGAAATTGAGCTTTGCTTTGCATGGCTTGCTGTGAACACTGTGGAATGTGTTGATGTTATTTTGCACCTGGTGAGGAGACTGGCATATGGGTAGGAATTAAGGCCCCAAGTATATTAACATTCTCTGTGACTTTGACAGAGAGAGCTTCTTAAAGGATCTGATGAGATCCTAACCCTGGTCGGGCAATATCATTCATAGGTGGACACCTCTAGCAGCTTAAAGGGAAGGACGTTTGTACTTCTCTCAGGATTGATTTCAACTTGGACAGCTCTTGGTCTACAGTTAACTTCTTATTAACCTAAACTGCATTAAAGGAACTTACATCCTTTGTCTTTTGGTGTCGGTCGTTATCACCCTTTGTGACAGTCTGTTTAAAAATCAAGTATTAGTTAAGTAATCATACAAGTAAATGTCAGATATCTGTGATGAATGCTTCAAAGGCGAATGACAGTACAATGAGAGCATAAAAGGATAGGGAAGGCTTTCCTCATTAGATGGTGCTTTAACTAATATGGATGAGTACCCATTAACTAGTCAGGAGGCCTGGTGGAGAGTATTCCAAATAGAGGGGACACACCTGTATTAAAGGCTCTGTGGCAGGGAACTGAAAAAAGACCGTTGTGTCCGGAACAGATGGCTGGGGAGGGGAGCATGTGGTGAGATGAAACTGGAAAGGTAGACAGGAGTTAGACCAGGCAGCACCTTGTACATATAGATTTTTGTGTTTATCCAAAGAGTGGGAAGTCATTGACCTTTTTAAGGGGTTAGAGGGAGTGGGTGAATATTATTCACCTGATCAGATTAGTTTTTGAAAAGATAGACATGCCACATCCAGTTTGGTTGTTTCTCTATGTGAGGGATGAAGGTAATTTGGACTAGTGGTCATGGTGGTGGTTGGAGGAGGAAGAAGAGATGAATATGGGGAAAACTGGGAGAAAAATCAATAGAATTGAATATGGATAGGTTATAAGGGGTGCTGAGCAAAAGCTATAGAGGACTCCCTAAATTTCTAGTGGATTAACCAACAAATTTTAAGTTGCTTTTAAAGTCTGTTCACGTTGTTTTTGTGTTGTTCTAATGGCCAAAGCTTAGTTTTCATTTTCAGGCTTGTAGTTAATATCTTATAGCATTGTAGTTAAAATCTTAGCATCACTGAGTACAATGCAAGTTTTAATCAGTATTCATTTAAGCTTAGTTATTTGTCTATTGCCTAATTCCCTTACCTTGTCTTTAACTGTTTTCTCTCTAGTATTATTATCCTTTGCTTATATGAGAAATTTCAAAACAAAATTTTTTTTTTGAGGGGGAAATTATTGCTAAACCTTAGATCCCTTGATTTCTAAAAAGTTTTATTGAGAGATAATTCACATAACATACAATTAACCAATTTAAAGTGTATAATCCAATGGTTTTAGTATGGTCGTACAACCATCACCACAATTAATTCTAGAGTAGTTTCATCACCCCAAAACAAATGCTGTACTCATTAGTAGTCGTTCCTCATTTCTTCCCAATTAATTTCTCCAGTTGTAGACAATCGCCAGTTGATTTTCCTTTTCTGACATTTCATATAAATGGAACTCCATAATATCTGGAGTTTTTAATTTGGCCTTTTTTATATTTAATTTTTAAATATTAAAATTTTTAATATGGCCTTTTTAACAGAATGTTTTCAAGGTTTATCTATTTTGTAGCATGTATCGTACTTCATTCCTTTTTCATGGCTAGTATTTCATTGAATGGATATGACACATTTTGCTTATCCATTCACCAGTTGATGGACATTTGGGTAGTTTCCGCTTTTTTGGTGAATTTTTTATGAATAATGTTACAGTGACCACTTATGTACAAGTTTCTGTTGTACAAGTTTCTGGAACATATATTTTCAACTCGGATATATACCTAGGCGTGGAATTGCTGGGTCATATTACCTATTACTCTGTTTGATTTTTTGTGGAACTGCCAAACTGTTTTCCAAAGCTGCTGTACCATTTTACATTCCCACTAGCAATGTATGAGGGTTCTAGTTTCTCCACATCCTTGCTAACACTTGTCTTTTTGATTATAAGCAAATAAGTGTGAAGTGATATCTCATTGTGGTTTTGATTTGCATTTCCCTGATGGCTAATGACGTTGAACTTGGTTTTTAAAAGAAAAGCAGCACTTCGATTTCATTTCTAATATAAAAATGGAAATGTTTGGTAATTTCATGTAATTGATTAGAAATAATTAGCTTTGCTGTATTTAAAATTTGTTCTTCTTTTTCATCAGTTGTATTCCCTGAATGACTACAAACCACCCATTTCTAAAGCAAAAATGACCCAAATTACTAAGGCAGCCATCAAAGCTATTAAGGTGAGTAATTTACTCTTGTGTTTCAAAAGAAATATTACACTAATATTTTGGAGGAGGGATAAATTTTTTTTTTTAATAATTTTATTTATTTATTTTTTCCCCCAAAGCCCCAGTAGACAGTTGTATGTCATAGTTGCACATCCATCTGGTTGCTGTATGTGGGACATGGCCTCAGCATAGCGGGAGAAGCGGTATGTCGGTGCACGCCCAGGATCCGAACCCGGGCCACCCGCAGCGGAGCGCGAGCGCGCGCACCAACCGCTAAGCCACGGGGCCGGCCCTTGGAGGAGGGATAATTTTTACAGATTATATATTTTCTTCCTCTTTAAAGTTAATAGGAAAAACACAAAAATGATAATCTGTCACCTGCAAACTCTCTCACCTAGAGGTAGACACTTAACGTTTTGATAAATATTTTTGCATAAATTTTGAAGCAATTATTTTTTCTTACTTAGGCAGGTAAGGTTTTAGATATAGCCACGTTATGGAGAATGTGTTTAACACTGGTATCTCTCACACTGACTTTACAAAACCTTGAAATACAAATTGGTAAAAGGTTTCTAAATAAAAATTAATGTATTGATTTTTTTTGTTATTGAATCTATTATAGATTTTAAAATAGGCCTTTATGGAAAATAACTGAGCCTCATTGTACACAGGACATCTGAACTGTGGGAAGAGGCCGCAGGCATTTAGCCATTGCTGTGATACAGTGGTTTTGAACCTGTGTTGCCTCATGGATACTTCTGAAAATCTCAGGAAAAGGTTGGACCCTCTCTAGAGAAATAAACACATGCACAAGAAATTTTGCATAAAATTTCTTGGCTTTAAGGACCTTTTGAAGCTTAACCATAGACACCTCTCCAAGAGGTTCTTGTCCCCAAAGCTAAGACTCCCTGCTTTAAAAGGGCTGTTAAGGTTGAGAAAGAATGAGTGCTTATTTTAATTAAGTAGGTCTTAACCAATGGATATTTGGGTATGTTTTCCTACTCTGCAGAAGAACATCAGCTATAACCGGAAGGACCAATTATTTAAATAAATTGTCGTTGAATAACAGCATGATCTATTTAACAAATTCCTATTTACAGAGAATCAGCCCTAGGAGAAAATTCAGATAATTAGTTGATTTTGCAGTATTCTAGTGGCCAAGGCTTGGTTTTCAGAGTTGTAGTTAATATCTTTCAGCATTGTAGTTAAAATCCCTCTATTTATATGCAGAAAATCAAAGAGGGGATAAGGACAGTGACCAGTAAACACATTTAATCCAGAGAATTCTTCAGAGAAGTGATTTTTTTTTTCAAGGTGTCTGATAGGCTTAGTATAGAATGTTTAGTCTCTTGTGCGTTGAATGTTTAGTCTCTTGTGCGTTCTTTATCTGTACTATTCTACATTGTGATCTGATCTTGATGATCATGATCCTGAGAGTTATGTATATTCTTAGCATCTTTATTCTGTGAAAATTAGTAATTGATGCATTTTACATAACTTTTTTGTTGAGCAGAATACTTTTTACTTAGAAGACCCTATAAGGTATAGGTGTTAACATTATTTTCATTTTTCAGATGTGAGAAGGGTCTAAGAGAAATTAAGTAATTTGCAGTAGTCAGAATAAATGTAGCTAGATTTGAATCCAGGTTTCTCTCAATCAGGAGTCTAAACATTATGATATACTGTGCTATTTTGATTTACTGTTACTGTTTTAAATTTTTTTAATTTTGAAAAAAATTCAAACATTGCAAAATACAAGGAGCAACACAGTCTTTTCTTAGATTTGCTAGTTAACATTTTGCTACATTTGGTTTATTTCTACACATACACACACTTCTTTTGGCTGAATCATTTACAGGTTAATTTCAGATTTCATCCATAGCACTTAATCCCTAAATACTTGAATTTGAATCTCCTAGGAACAAAAACATTTCCGAAGTAACCACAATACGCTGATCACATGCAAGAAATTTCACTTTGATGTAATACTATTATCTAATATACAGTCCACGAATATTTACCAGTTGTCTTTGTATTGACTTTAGTAGCTGTCCCCTGCACCCCTACTTTTTCAGGATCCAGTCAGGATTACAGGTTATATTCATTTATCCTGTCACCCAGCTGTTTTGTTTTATTTTTCATATCATTGGCCCTTTTGAAGAGTTCAGACCAACTGTTTTGTAGTACTGTATTATTTTATTTTTTATTTTTTTTTGTGAGGAAGATCAGCCCTGAGCTAACATCTCATGCCAGTCCTCCTCTTTTTTGCTGAGGAAGACTGGCCCTGGGCTAACATCTGTGCCCCATCTTCCTCTACTTTATATGGGACGCCGCCACAGCATGGCTTGACAAGCGGTGCGTCGATGCTCCCCCAGGATCCGAACCTGCGAACCCCGGGCCGCCGAAGTGGAGTGCATGCACTTAACTGCTGCACCACCGGGCCGGTCCCAGTTTATTTTAAACTGCATTTAGTACATACATAAATTGAGATTTGAACTGCCTTTTAAATCAGATTTAAATAATACTGTGTTTCATAGTAACGTAGTAACCGACTGAGTCGGTTTTTTACCAGTGTTTAGAGACATGATTATTTTTGATGAGTGCTTGTTAACATTGCACAGTGTCAAAAAACTTCACGGATAACCTATTGTGGAAGAAGGCCTATGTGAATTAATAAACTTTGAATTAAAGTTTAGTAAGTGGTTTTACTCTGAATTACGTATAGTACATAAAGTAATTTTAGAAGCAAGAAGCGCCGTCAAGATGTTTTCTAGAATTATTATTTAACAGAAATCATACTATGTAATTATTTAATTTTTTTTTTAATTTTTATTTATTTATTTATTTTCAACCCCAAAGCCCCAGTAGATAGTTGTATGTCATAGCTGCACATCCTTCTAGTTGCTGTGTGTGGGACGCGGACACTGCATGGCTGGAGAAGCGGTGCATCGGTGCGCGCCCAGGATCCGAACCCGGGCCGCCGGCAACGGAGCGCGCGCACTTAACCACTAAGCCACGGGGCCGGCCCTAATATTTTGAATATTGATTTTAAATGTTTAGGTACCTATAAAGTGCCTAATAACTTTTAAGTAGTTGTTTTAGCTTTTTTACTTAAGTAACTTGCACTATTGAGTAAACTGTTACTTTATAGTAAGAAAATGTTAGCCAAGCTTAAACTTATTGTAGATTTTGATTTGGTGAATATCGGTAATGAGATTTTCCTTTATTTTTGATTTTATAAATATTAGATTTCATGGTGCAGTCCAATTGAATATTATTGTGCCTCTTCAGTCTAAGGGGATGTCCCTCAAAAGCATAATTCATGAAATCAGAAGTATAAATAGAAGCACAATTCAAGTTAGTTCCTTAAACAGAAATATGCTAGTTATACAGTTGCTATTGAGGTATTAAAATTTAAGCAGCACAAATTGTAGATACTTTTTGTTTTATCTATAATTTCCATTTTATTCATTTTCAGATTTATTCATAGTGTTGTTCATAAAACTTAAATCTAAGTTTTCTTTTAATTGATAGTGGCCCATTATCAGTTTTTAATCTATGTGCTCACTTCAGTTCTGCTGATCATTTTGACTGATCTGTTAGAACATTGTACATCACTATATCTTATTATATACACTTGCAGTTGCATTCTCCAGGAGAAGCAGAAGGAGATAAGTTGAAAACAACTCCCTTGCATACATTTATTAATGCTATTTGTTGACAGTTGTGTCATTTTTCTAGTACTTAACCCTAATTTAGCAAAAAAATACTATAGGAAATCTTTTCCTTCCATGAAACTGAGTATACATCTGCCAGTGTGCTTATCACAAGTATTTTGCTGTCAACATAGCTGTTTGTGAAAGTCTGCTTTCATAAAGATTGTGATAGAATTCTTTTGTGTCTGTGTTAGTGTAACACATTTTGGATATACTGAGCGTATACTTACTTGAAGAATCCCTGTACTAGTTAGATATCATAGCTAGTTGCTTCTGAAGGTGAGGGACATGAATGTTTGTCGCACAATTCATGATTAAAATTCATTGTTTTGATAGACCTTTGAAGCTATGTTAAACCCTATGTTTAGTGGGAAAATTCTAATCTAATCGAACAAATTTAAAAGCCATGCTTCATTTTTTTCTTTTAGTTCTATAAACATGTGGTACAGAGCGTTGAGAAATTCATTCAGAAAGTAAGTATATAATTTTCCATATATATGCTAAATGTACTATAATTTTAGATTAATGCCTTGAGCTCTTCTCTTTTAAATCAAATACCCAAGTTTAAATTGTTTTGGTGGACTGTTGAAAAGTGATTCCATTTGTTTTATTTTCTAATTAAGAAATAAAATGAACGTGTTTTTTAGTAATTCTAAAAACAATAGCTTTCAGGTGGGTGTTTTTGTTAATTTGCATTGCCATAGTGTGCATCTGTCCCTTGAAAAAAGTGGTGTCGATATGATTGATTTTTAATGAAATTATGAATTCATTGCTTTTTATAGCCTTTATAGAAATTCTTGCTTGTCATTTCAAGCTCAATGCCTAGAGAGCAGCTCTCCCTTTAGATAAAGTGTGGGTAAAATTTTGCTTATCAGCCACTTCTGCTGATTCATTTTGTCTTATCCATTAGCACATTATACATCTCAAAATCTTTTTACGTAGACCTGAAGTTCCAGTTTCCAGGGTAAGCAGAGGGAGATGAAGTTGGAAACAGCAGCCTTGCATGCATTTAGTAATGCTTTTTGTAACCAGGGCCCGAGGTGATTAGATTATAGTTCTTTGACCTCTTCTTTGTGATCAGCACCCTATTGGTGCCACAGTTTTTGGAAGGAGTACCTAAGACTTAAAACTTACAAATTGTTGCTATGGGAAATCTGTGCTTTACTGTAACTGAATTTAGGTTTTGTGCTTGCCCATGTTCATGTGCCTAGATGTAAGCAGAACCAGTTTGAGACTCAAAGGTATATGGTGTTAAGGATTCAGCAAGGATGCAAAGTGTTTCTTGAACAAAAATAGTTCATAGAGAGAAAGGTGCATGGATCAAAATGAGATTATGGTGTCACTTAAACTAGCTAGGTGACCTTGAGTAAATCAGTTAACTGTTACATGATTCAGCTTTTTTCTCTTGAAGTCTTGCTTTCTTAATAAAGTATTAGTAAAACATATTTTGAGGTGAGCAACTAGTGAATTGAGCCTAAGACACAGGGTAAAATAACAAGTATGCTGTGTGTTTTAGGTAAATCAAAGCATAAGATAAAAATGTTGGTGATTGGAAAACTTCACTCTTCTAAAACTTTTTTAAAAGTTGTTTTTAAAGGTTTGAATGTCTAAAGCAGTGCTTCTTAAACTTATTTGTGCATAGATGTTACTTAGGGATCTTGTTAAAATCCAGATTCTGATTCTGTAAGTGTGGGGAGAGACTGAGATTTTGCATTTCTAGCTGTTCCTAGATGATGTCTTTGCTGTTAGTTCAGAAACCACAATTTGAGTAGTAGGGGTTTAAAGGATAAACATGAATTTATGGATAAATGGTTTTTGATGACTTGATTTGGGGCAGGGGTACTTTTAAGAAGATATTTCAGAATCTTAGGAAGACCTTGGGTGAGCAAAATTATCTCTATCGTGAGATAGAGATAATCTGTGATGTTCGCACAATGACAGAATTGCCCAACACATTTCTCAGAACATATCCCTGTCATTAAGCGACGCATTACTGTAGTTTTATTGTAAAAAGTGCTACAACAACAAACCTCATTTAAAAAGAGTTCTTAATAGAGAAAAACGTTAAGACAAACTTAAACCAAACATAGTACAAAACAAATGGCTTTATGCCTCAGCTGTACAATCTAAGTTGAAGGTCCCAGGAGTGCCATCCTGAACTTGGAATGTATAGCCTTCAGAGGTGGTTTCTGGTACAACATTTTGCTCTTCTTCCTCTACAGAGAAATACTTCTCAATCAAGTAGAATGAAGCTTTTTACAGACTCACTTGCATGGTTCTGTAGAGCTTCAATTTTGTGTAAACCTCCATATTCTTTAGTCGTTATACTAAGTTTCTCAGTTTCACCTAGCCTCTCAGTAGCCTGGAAGATATTTGAAATGGCATCCAGAATAACCAGAATAATTTTGGTATCTTTTGTGGTGAAGAGGTTCATCAGCGGTTCTGTTATGCCGCCATGAATGAGGTGTTCTGCCGTTTGTATAGTTGGTCACTTTTGTGTCCTAAAGTCTGCCTTAGAGAGAATGCCGAGAGGAGTGGCATTCCCTAGTCAGTGTCTGGGGAAAATTTAAATGCTTTAGCCCCTATCCCTGTTTAAATCAGAAATTCAACAATGGATTAATGTAATGGTAAATTAAGTTGTATCTGTATATTTTTACTTAAACTTTCTATTTTGAGATAATTGTAGATTCACGTGTCATTTAATCAATAATAGATAATAGTGATACAGAGAGATCTCCTATACTCTTCACCTAGTTTCCCCCAGTGGTAACATCTTGTATTGCTGTAGTAAGGTATCACAACCAGGACATGGATACAATCCACCAGCCTTATTCAGATTTTACCAGGTTTACTTGCACTCGTTTGTATATATGTGTATGTAGTTCAATCCCATGTATTGATTCATATAACCTCCACCATAGTCAAGATACAGAACAGTTCCATCACCACAGGATCCATCGTGTTTCCCTTTTATATATCACACTCAACTCTCCTCCAGCCCCCATCCCTAACATCTGGCAGTCACTAATCTGTTCTCTATCTCTATCATTTTGCCATTTCAAGAATGTTCTATAATGTAGCCTTTGAAATTGGCTTGTTTTGCACAATATAATTTCCTTGAGATCTATCCAAATTGTACATGTGTCTAATAGTTCCTTTCTTTTTATTTCTTAGTAGTATTCCATGGTATGGATGTACTACAGTTTGTTTAACCATTGAGGGTCATCTGAATTGTTTCCATTTTTGCACTATTATGAATAAAGCTGCTAGGAACATTCGTGTACAGATTTTTACGTGGGTTGTTATTTCTCTGGATAGTAAGTGCATGTTCCATTTTATAAGAAACTGCCAAACTTCCAGAATGGTTATACTATTTGACATTTCCACCAGCAATGTATCATTGGTCCAGTTTCCACATTCTTGCCATCATTTGGTCTTAGGACTATTTTTCATTTTAGCCATTCTGATAGATGTGTAGTCATATCTCATTGTGATTCTAATTTGCATTTCTCTGATGGCTGATGAGTTGAACATGTTTTCACATGCAATTATTTGCCATTTTCAGTCTTGTGCCCATTTTTTAATTGGATGGTTCGTGTTTTTTTTTTTTTACTGTTGAGTTTTGAGAGTTCTTAATATATTCTAGATGTAAGTTCTTTGTCGAATATATGGTTTGCAAATATTTTTTTCCTGGTCGGTAGCTTGTCTTTTCATTCTCTTAACACAAGGCCTTTTGCAGAATAAAGATTTTTAGTTTTGATGAGGTTCCACATTGTGTGTGTATTTTTTTAATACCAGAGGAAACCTTTTTTTCCCTCTTTCCTGTTCTTACTGGAACTTGAGTACTGGCGGGGAGGGACGACAGATAAAACACAAGTAAAAGTGGAGCAGCAGTGGTTGTGGTAGGAAACCCGAAGCCCATTCCACCTGCTTTGTTTTGTGCCCCGTAGCCCTTGAGGCACTTGCACAGATGCATTGTTTTCATGGAACCCAGTTTGTGAAACCACTGGATTCGAGTATTGTTTATAGTAGGAAATACTATTTTAGCAAATTTATGAGAAAGTTCATTTGTTATGCATGTTATGTATAGTCAAATGAGATCTAAGAAAAATTTGAAGTATTATTTAATGATGGTAAACTTGTAATTTTGGGTATCACCTACCTCCAGAGCACTAGAAATTATTCAGCTTCTCTATGCTTTCCTTTACTCACCATAAACAAATAGTGCAAGAAAGGGAGAAGTGTGGCTGCAGTTTGGTAGTGTGTTATCTGTGATTCTGTGTTTTAGCTGTGAAAGATTTATAGGTAGAGTAATGAATGATGGCAATAAATGAAAAGATAAATTAACAATGTAAGATGATTTCCTATAGGCCTGGAAAATTGCTTGAAAGAATACTTTGGCCTCTAGCCTCTGGTGTGGGGTACGCAAAGAGTTGGGCACTTGGGCACGGATAGTTTGAAAGGAGTAAATTTCCAGATTCTCACTTTCTTTATGTACTTTTTACTAAAAATGCCTCTGCCCTGGGATGTTTTAGATCAGTTCTTTGTCCCACACTCTAAATTTTCGTTTCATCCATGTTAGCTCAGGGCTGATCTTCCTGACAAAAAAAAAAAGAAATAGAACTTTGACTGAAGCCAAGTGCCTCTTTCTGATCTTATCCCTCCCCAGATAAACACAGTCTGACTTTTATGTCAGTCACATCTTTGCTTGGCATTATTGTATTACTCGATAGGTCTGAATCCTTAAACAAAGCAGTTTAACCTGCTTTTTAATTTTGTATAAATGGAATCCTATAGTATGTATTCTTTTTTGTGCAGTTATTTTACTCAGTCTCATATGTTTAGGATTCATCCCTGTTTTGTGTAGCAGTACATTTCTTCTCATTGCTGTATATATTCCATTATGTGAATAAACTGCAGCTTATCCATTCTGTTGACAGACATTGTGTGTGTGTGTGTGTGTGTGTGTGTGTGTTTTCTGGTTTTTGAAATTATGAACAGTGCTGCTGGGAACATTCTAATAAATGTATCCTGGTGTAGCCTACGTTTCTGTGGGAGTGGAATTGCTGGGTTGTAGGTTATGCATGTCTTTAACTTGTCTGGATAATACCAAATTAATTTCATAATAGTTGTACTAATTGACACTTCCACTACCAATGAGTGAATTTGTGTCGCTCCCATCTTTACCAATACTTGGTATTGTTAGACTTAAATTTTTCTAATCTAATGAGTCTTAGTTGGAAGTTATTTAAGGGGCTGGCCCAGTGGCCTAGTGGTTAAGTTCACGCGCTCAGCTTTGGTGGGCCGGGGTTCGTAGGTTTGGATCCCGGGCATGGACCTACGCACTGCTCATCAAGCCGTGCTGTGGTGGTGTCCCATATAAAGTAGAGGGAAATGGGCACGGATGTTAGCCCAGGGCCAATCTTCCTCAGCCAAAGAGAGGAGGATTGGCAACAGATGTTAGCTTAGGGCT